TTTTGAATTTCTTTGGATCTCGGCATGATGTCTAGCTTTTGAGGATCTTTTGGTTTACTTCACTTTGTCAGGCAGGTCCTATTTAAGTGATTTCTTGATTGCGAACAGGTGTGGCAGTAATCGGGCATGGGTGTGGCTAGAGAAATTGAACTCAGGTGTGATAAACCAGAGTTAAGTTATGTTTTGACAGGGGGGCGAACACTTGTTCACACAGGGCTATGTAGTTTTGGATTTTGTTTTCCCTTAATAATAAAAACCTTCATTTAAAAACTGCATGATGTGTTCACTTGTGTTATCTTTGACTAATATTTAAATTTGTTTGATGATCTGTGTGACAAACATGCAAAAAGATGAGAAATCGGTAAGGGGGCAAACACTTTTTCACACCACTGTAGATACGGTCTGTGGTATCTGCTCAAACTGTTCTTTATAATGTTGCTTTTGCTGCAATTAAGTATGGGTATCTTATAGTCTCACTGTTTATTAAATTTACCCAGTTTCTTTCACCATGACATCGTGGTACCAAGTGTCACTACACTTTTCTGCAAGCTTTCAATTTTATTTGAATTAATTTTCTATTATAAGATTACTTTCTAAATGAGTAATTTCATCTTCTGTTGACAGATTACACAGGACAAGGTGTTGACCAGCTGCAGAAAGTCATCAGCACCATCAAAAATAAGCCAGATGACAGACGGATCATTATGTGTGCATGGAACCCCAAAGGTGGAGCAGATACTAAAGTTAAAATTCACTCTAAACCCTCTGAATCTGAATGTAGCGACATTTTATCGGCCAGACTGAATTCTGTGTCTGTTGTGTTGTTGCAGACCTGCCGCTTATGGCTCTGCCTCCCTGCCATGCCCTGTGCCAGTTCTACGTGTGTGATGGCGAGCTTTCTTGTCAGCTGTACCAGCGCTCGGGTGATATGGGCCTTGGGGTGCCATTCAACATCGCCAGCTATGCACTTCTTACCTACATGATTGCACACATCACAGGACTCAAGGTAAAGGTGCTGGACTTCTGTCAAACCCCTCATATGATTACACTGTTGCCCATTATCTCACCTGTTTTTGTTTTTTTAATTGTGTCCCTTCAGCCAGGCGACTTTGTTCACACTCTGGGAGATGCTCACATCTACCTCAACCACATAGAACCTCTGAAAGTACAGGTGGGTTAGTTCAATAGTTTTTATTTTTAATCGGTTCTGATTTCAAATTCACATAAGCTCATCTGTGTACATTTGCAGCTTCAGAGGGAGATCCGACCCTTTCCCAAGCTGAAAATCCTGAGAAATGTAGAGAACATCACTGATTTCTGTGCAGAGGACTTTGAAATCTGTGATTACAACCCTCATCCCACAATTAAGATGCAGATGGCTGTGTAAAAGTCACTACTTTGAGGAAAAATATGGTGTGTGTATGTTTGGAAAGTGCTTTTAGAAGCTCTCCCATCACCTTCAGGTGTATGCACTGCCTAGTGTCTCCTTCACTTGTTTTCAGAAGGGCTGTGCACGTTTTAAAAAACTGAGTTAATCTGAATCATAAAAGAGAGCTAAGTGGGTAACTTTATGATTTTTTTTTTTTTAGTGGGCTAACACTTTAAATCATATCAAGTTCTTACAAAAAGTGTTTTTACTTCTCTTACTGTGTTTTGGGTAATAGAATTGCTGTTGTGTAAAGTTCTACTAGAGGGGGAAGGTTTCAGTTGCTTGGAACAAATGTCTGGTTCAGTTTCTTCATTTTACATATAATTAAAGGCTAATTTGTGAATAAAGAATTTACACTGATCTCAGCTTGACTTGTACTGAAATGTTGCTGACTCAACAGGAGCCAATTGGTCAAACAAAAGTCTGACATTTCTGCAGTTTGAAATATTTACAATTGTTGCAGTTGATTAGTGTGATAAGTTTCTATTCAGCTTGATCAAGTCCAGTAAGAGAGTTTAGATAAAAGGTTTAAGTCCTGTGCAGCTTCCATACTTCTCCTTCGGGGTACTGGTGTCTTTTCACTGATGACTCCACCATCTCACAAGAATAGCCTGGATCCTGAGAACAATACACACAACGTACTCGTGTCTAAAGCAACAAGTGTAGAAAAGATTTTTTTATATACATTATCTAACATTTCGGTTTCATCTATACTTCTTACCTTGGGGGGCAGGTAGTGTGCATCCCGAATCACCACAGGACTTGTGAAGTGCTCGTGGAGATGGTTCACATATTCACACATCCTGGAGGAAAAGATGCAATGCTCGAATCATGCAGAGTAAAGAACAATCTGGTTACAAAGAGGGTCCTTTTCTTACCGGTTGTGAAGATTTGCAGACACGCAGATGTAGTCAAACAGAATCAGATGCTGGACAAGCTCACAGAGGCCGACTCCTCCGGCATGAGGACAAACGGGCACTAAGGAAAACGCAATGCTGAGTGTATCATAGCCACGTTTGAACACAAGCGTACACTTTGAGTATATTACTACTACAGAAAAAAGCAGTAAAAATGACTATGTCAAAACTCAGCTAAATGCTGAGGTGGTTGTGTCCATATTTGTCCACAGCAAAGATCTTTTTATTTCCAATAATTCAGAGTTTCGAGGGAAGTATAAATGTGTGTGTGTGTGTGTGTGTGTATATATACACACACACACACACAACTATCTACACTTGCTTTCTGGGCTCCACATACTAGTGATTATGGTCATATTTGGACTTTTACCTTGATACTTATGGGCCATCAGCAGCACAGCCAGGTTTTCGTTCACACTGCCCAGACGGCAGCTGTCTATCTGGACAAACTGTAGCGCAGAGGCCTGGAGGAACTGCTTAAACATCACCCTGTTGTGACACTGGACAGAAAACAGTCAATCAACTAGACATTTCATCAGTCAGTGAAACACATGCAAGAACAAACTTGAGCTCTGACCTGTTCCCCTGTTGCCACTCCAATCCCGAGTGGAGCCAAGGCCTGCAACAACAAAGTCAAACATCTTCATCCATGGACAGACAACCGCACAGGCCTACTGGGCCTGAATCTGAGAAGTCAAGGGGTCTCTGGGCAAGAAAGTCAATCAAATGACTGCTACAATACACAAAACAACTATAATGGTACATAGACTGACCATAAACAGATACAGTCTCATGCAAAAGTTTAGGCACCCCTTGATAAATAACAGATTTTGGTGATTTTTTTATTTGAAAAGACGTTAACAGTCTCTCTTGGAAATGGAAAAAATGCACAATATTTTCAGCAAATAGTGATGCATAGTTACTTCTTATGCCATAAATTGAACACAAATAATAAATAAAAACATTATTATGGCACGGTGCAAAAGTTTGGGCACCCTAAGAGTTCCAGAGTCTCAAAGTCTCTCACAAGGTTTCAGACCTTAATCAGCTCCATTCCAAAACCTTCAGCCTGCGTCTCTTGAGGTATTCCATAGTGGATTTCGAGGTATGTTTAGGATCATTGTCCTGTTGTAGAAGCCATCCTCTTTTCAGCTTCAGCTTTTTTACAGATGGTGTGATGTTTGCTTCCAGAATTTGCTGGTATTTAGTGGAATCCATTCTTCCCTCCACCCGTGCAATGTTTCCTGTGCCACTGGCTGCAACACAACCCCAGAGCATGATAGATCCACCCCCATGCTTAATAGTTGGCAAGGTGTTCTTTTCATGAAATGCTGCTCCTTTTTTTCTCCAAACATGCCTTTGCTGATTGTGTCCAAAGAGTTCTATTTTAACTTCATCAGTCCACAGCACTTGTTTCCAAAACGCATCGGGCTTCTGTAGATGTCCTGTTGCATACTTCAGACGTTGGATTTTATGATGGGGACGCAGATAAGGTTTTCTTCTGCTGACTCTTCCATGAAGGCCTTGTCTGTGCAAGCATCGCTGCACAGTGGAACGGTGCACCACCACTCCTGAGTCTGCTAAATCTTCCTGCAGGTTTTTTGCAGTCAAATGGGGGTTTTGATTTGTCTTTCTGACCAGCATACGAGCAGTTCTGTCCGAGAGTTTTCTTGGTCTTCCAGATCTCATCTTGACCTCCACAGTTCCCCTGATCTGCCATCTCTTAATTACATTTCTTACTGTGGAAACTGCAAGCTGACAACGCTTTGCTATCTTCTTGTAGCCTTCTCCTGCATTGTGGGCATCAATAACTTTCATTTTCAGGGTCTTACACAGCTGCTTAGAGGAACCCATTGTTGCTGGGTGTCCGCAAGTGTGTGCACAAGGTTTGAAGAGTCAAGGTATTTGTACAGCTTTGAAATTGGCATTTACCAATGACAGCTGTTGCTGTGCATCAGATCTAACGAGCTGATTAAGGTCTGAAACCTTGTGAGAGACTTTGAGACTCTGGAACTCTTAGGGTGCCCAAACTTTTGCACCATGCCATAATAATGTTTTTATTTTTTATTTGTGTTCAATTTATGGCATAAGAAGTAACTATGCATCACTGTTTGCTGAAAATATTGTGCATTTTTTCCATTTCCAAGAGAGACTGTTAACATCTTTTCAAATAAAAAAATCACCAAAATCTGTTATTTATCAAGGGGTGCCTAAACTTCTACAAGAAATATAAAATGACCACAAAGAAAAGAACAACTACGAAACATTGTGAGATGACCACAATGAGACAGAAAACCATAGAAACACTACAAGAGACCGCAATAAATGATTACAAAGACAAAATGACAAGGAAGAGATGCAAAACAACTTCAAAAAGACACAAAACAATCATGAAGAGGGGATAAGGGCAGGGATAAGACACCAAGGAGATGCAACACAACACAAAGAAACACTACAACAGACACAAAATAGCCCCAAAAATAAAAACATACTATAAAGAGACCAACTGTGACAACAATGCAGTTTCTGGGTGTCACACAGTTTTGTGGAGGCCCTTGGGTGCAGGTCTACACTCAGAGGACCCGTCTCCTCATCTCTCTGTCTTCAATACACAATCACATGAGCAAGCAGGAAAATCAAAGTTCTGTCTCACCTTGGAGATGGCAGCGTGACCAAGAATGTCGTCTGGAGACGTGGGCTCCTCAATCCAAAGTGGTTTGAACTCAGCCAGGCTGGACACCCAGCTGATGGCCTCGCCTACATCCCATCTCTGGTTGGCATCAATCATCTAACGCAAAAAAAACCCCCAAACTCTTTAGAATACTGGTATTTCTGTCTGTAAACAGTGTTCGGGGCAAAACAACCTTACCAAAGTGTTATTGGGCCCAATCATTTGTCTGATGAGGCGGCACCTGCGTTTGTCATCCTCTAAGTCGGCTCCAACTTTCACCTTAAACTTGCTCCAACCGTTTTTAAGTGCATCTGTGCAGAGCTTCAGAAAAGCAGAGATGTCACTAAAAACTCCTTATCTGACTGGATATTTCATGCATTTTATAGCAGACAGACCTGCTGAAGCTGCTGGTCTGGGTATCCGAGCCAAGCACAGGAAGTGGTGTATGCAGGATAACCCTCCTTCAGCATCTGATTCTCTGGCAGGTTAAAAAAATAAATAAATAAAAACTGTCCACATGGGGAACAAACACTAGTGGAGAAGTGTGTTTTAACAGTGCAGACATGGAGCGTAGGGACCTATTATGCAGGCTAAAAGCACTCATGTTAGCTCCTAGAGAGTCCTCTTCACTCCACAAAGTCCCATTAAGCCATTCAGTGTTCTCACCTCTCTGTTGCCTCCCCTCCTGTGCTTTCACAAGTATATCTGAATGAGAAAAGTGGCGTTTAAGCTCCATGGAGAAACAATGGATTTCTTTCCACAGTCTGTGCTGGACATATACCGTGCATCAGAAAACCAGTCTCACCCAGAGCTTCCTCCTCTGTGAGCACATCAGTGATGTATCTGAAGTCAATGCAGGAGACGATCTGCTTTGGGTCCTGAATTGACACACATGTGTAACACGTGATGTTTCCTTCACATCATCGTCCCGGGGAAGGATCTGTATTTCGGTGACTCACCATGTCCACGAGCAGCTTCCACAGTGGCTGCGGGACAATATGACAGCAAGCTGTGAGACGCGACATGTCGTGCTTGTAAAGAAAATGTTGTTTTACTCATAATGCCTCAGCTCACCTTTCCCTCCGCCCTGGCCCAGAGGTCCCACACGGCATTCAGGACCGCAGCAGTGGCCAAGTGGATCACTCCTTTCTCTGGGCCTAACTGTTTCAGACAATGCAAAAGATTTAAAACAACACCCTACACATATTCTTAAAATATTCAACATTACTAAAAATAGCATTACTAAAAACTTGTTAAAATTCCTGAAGACATGATTTCACTTTGTCATTATGAGTTATTAAGAACAGACTGATGAGCAAAAATGGCAATTATATCCAGTTAAAATTAAATCTACAACAGTAAAATGTGCAAAAAAGTGAAGTGGTCTGAATATTTTCTTAAACCACTATAGGTAAGTATTAGAAGTCTACATGAGGAGACAGAAGCCAGATATAATATTAAAGTAAGAATAACAGCAGCTCATGGAATGGCAAGAAGGTGTGAATCGCTCTGTCCATGTTGGGAAAGTACAGCAAGGTGCTGCAAGACAGAGAAAAAAGTCTCATTCTGTAAATATTGAATGGTTGAACGGTTCAGTGCTACTGATGCCAGTGCACATGATTTGTGGCCATGAGCCCTCTCTTACCCATCTCATCTGGCTATCACTGGTCAGGAGGCGGTAAAACCCACGGAAGTCACTCACGATCTCCTGCAAAGGTTTCCCAATAACCAGTCCTGCGAGGGCTTCCACAGCACACACCACTGCAGGGTTACAGTCAGTAAGAACAGCCTTTAAAGTAAACATTCACAATTTTTCAAACCTGTCTTAAAACAACTGTCAGGTGTCCACATGAACATTACAAAAGGCTTTGCAGACACTAATGAGGATAAAAGTTGTACTAAAAAGACTGTAACACTGGAAGATAACCACTTAATAGTAAGAAATTGTGGAATTTACTTTTACACAGAAAGAGGACTGTGGATTTAGTCCTCTAGAGAAGGGATCTCTTGCTGGCCAATAGTTTGCAGTACTTTCAGATGCAGCTCAAAACCGTTGTATTGCGCTTAATAAGAATTACCACAAGATGGCGGTATAGAGCTCAGAACTGCACATTCATTATTATGTAGAATTTGTCTGGATTGTGTTTCTTTAATATTGTGCAAGCTATGAGACTTATTTAGAATACTATATTGGTAGCGTGATATATATAAAAAGCTCAATAGCTCATAATTGTTACCTTCAATAGAACCTGTAGTGAGCGAGTCTGAAGACAATCACTTTGGTATCTGACGACAAACTCACTTTTAAAGCACATAGCACTGTCTGAAAAACGAAGTTTCTTGTAAAGACAAGTCTTGTTGTCCAACCTTCTGCAGAGTGATGGAAGCTACAGTGTATTTATATGTCAGTTCCTGATTATGCTGATGCCATTTATATGCTTGTTTCAGGGTCCACTCTGCAATTAGATTTATAATGGTGACCCATCTACACATCACTGTACTTTGTTATCTAAGCATGGGACAGACATTCCTTTATATTAGAAGAGAGCATCATGTGCTTCTGTTTATTTATAAAGGCCTACTAAAAAGACTACCAGCTTATCTATGAACAGTCTTGGGGAGTAGTGAACTACATGTAATCAAAGTAGCAGTATAACTACATTTTGCAGTAGCTTGCTGGTAGTTCAGCTACATAGGTATTTGCATAATGAAGTACTTAAATTACTTTTTGCCATTTTATGTGTAATTACACTACAAGCAAGTGAAAGTAAACTACAAACAATTTAGGGTCATAAAAGGAAAATAATGATTCTCTCTTCTGTTTTCCGCCTGGAGATCTGCCACTCATCAAACCTCCACCTCCAGCTACAGGTTCCAAAGGTCAATACAGAGTTTGGAAAATCTGCTTTCACCGAGGCTGTGCTGCTCCTGCTTCATGGCAAAGCCTACTGAAGTACGTGTTGGGGTCAATACACCCATAGTTGTGGCGTTCGTGACATAAAACTACACACTGCAGTGTTTGTGAAGTGTCTTACCAATCTCTGTGCCTTTTCCTAAAGTAAACGTGAGGCCGAAGCCTTTCAGTCCGAGGTCCGTGTCGATGACCACATAAGCGGCTGAATAATCAGGGTCGCTGTGCTGCAATGTCCAAAGTTAGAGTGAATACAGGACTCACGTTAAAAGTCTGTTCACTCATAAATACACGGCACAGTGTCGCTGCAACGGCAGAAACTTCCTTACCATCGCATCGGAACCGTGCTGCTGTAAAGAGGTCGGGAATCTCACATCCCTCACGGTTAAATTAATAATTTTGTGCAACATTTTGGCCACCGAGCTTTGTTTTGTTTTGTTTTGTCTTCTTCTTCCTTCTTCCTCCTTCTTCTTCTTCTTCTCGACCTCCTCCGATGTTTTACGGCAGTTGGCATCCTAGTGTTGCATTACTGTCACCTAGTGTCCGTAGTCTGTCACCGTCCCAATATCCCAAAATCCATTTATGAGTCCTGTTACCCTCATAAAATCTAGTAACACTCCCTCTTCCACTCCTTCCGAATTCCACTATACTTTTAAAACTTAAATCTACTAACCCTTATTCCTGAAAAGGAGTAAACATATCTACCCTTTCCATTGAATACCTCCTGCATGAAATGATGACATGATTTATTGTTTCTGCTTCTTAACAAAGATCATAGAATATAACGCCACTGCATACGTGCTCGGATAATTAGTAGTCCTTATAGCAATCTCAACTTTACACCTGGGCTCCCACTCACCTCAACCATTCACTGGTTTAAACATGGCCCTCAGATGACAAAAGCAAAACGCCTAATTTCAATTTTAAAAAAGAGAAAAATGTGTAAAATCACGTCTTTATTGTACAAATTGCGCAGATGAGTCTCCACTCACAAGCCCCTTGTAAAATATGCTATTCTGACAAGTTTATTAATAATAATATTATAAAATGGGGATTTTGTAATATACAAATCCATTCTTTACAAGTTCAGTTGTCAGTTATTCCATTATAATACTGTTCCAAAGAGTTCATAGAGGAACCAAATATAAAGGGAAAAAGAATCACTGTAAAAACGGTATAGCCTACACTGTTGTGCAAATAGTTTTTGCAGAGCCATCCTGTGTAGCCATCCACATACATGTGTATGTCACATTTTAAAAGATAAAAATGGATGTGTCCACTTTGTTTGGTAGAATGGTTTGTTTTCCACTTTTAAAAAGTGTTAAAATCCTCCTGCATATTGGTTGGTAGCAATTTCATATGTCTAGTGTCACTCAGGCTTGGCAAGAAGCCACCAGTCCACAGGTTGCATCTCTGTTAACTGTTGTTTTTGCTGACATGTCAGCTCCATGACACATTATACAAACCTTTTTTGTTAAAGGATCACAGGGAGATCATATGACCTGGGCAGTGAGGGAAAGAAAGCTTTATGGCGCTGCTATATAACAGGCCTGGCAGTGATTTCTGGTCAATGATGAACTGTCAGGAATCTCTGCAGGATTCTTGCCATAATAATTTCATAAAGGAACATAACATTAAAAACAAACAAAAAATTGCACTGTAACAAATGCAAATAGATGCAGCTAAAGCTAAACTGTGTGGGACCTGCTTTTAAATAATCATATTGACTGTGGTGATGGTCATCAATCCCCTCAGACCTCCTCCCTATTAATACAATATATTGTTTTGTCACCAATAATTGTTTTGATGTATAATTTACTAATCTACCACAAAGACTACAATTTGGAAGCAAACGAAGTGAGAAATCTCCACATCACAACACATAAAAGGCTGGCCACACTCTGTTATATGCTTTTCTTTTGAATCATTATCACAGCTTATTTCACACAGCTAAGACGAACATGTGTCCATAACCACAGTCTGCCATTGTGAACATCCACATGAAAAAGCTAAAATTCACATATAGGTAAGACTTGTGTAGTACCACAAAAAATATGAAATTATAAAATGCCGATGGACACGAAGCAAAGACAGAAATAAAGAACAGGTAAAGTGGTTTGTCTGACTGATCACTCCGGTTTCCAGTCGACTTTTTACAGACTCAGCGTGTCCAGCTCTTGCCCTCTGAGTCCAGGCAGGCTATAGGTTCTCTCCAGGCTGGTACTGTGGCTCTGTGGCGGTGAAGTAGTCCTCTAGGAAGGACTGGAGGTACTCGAAAGTGGGCCTCTCATCTGGCTCCTTCTTCCAGCAGAGATTCATCATCTCGTGCAGGGACTCGGGGCACCCCTGGGGGCAAGGCATGCGATAGCCTCGCTCCACCTGCTCCAGCACCTCCCGGTTCACCATACCTGAGGAGGAGAGGGCACCAAGGTGGAGACAGCTGTTACAACTTTTAGCTGAGTATTGTTTCTTGGCCTTACAGTAGGGTTCTATAATCCAAAAAGAAAGCTGAAATTAGAAAGGAAGCAATCAGTTGATGCTCATGTTTTCCAGACTCTCCTTAAGTAGGATCACATTCCTAACTAGATATTTTTTAATGTCAGTCCTTTATCAAAAAATGAGATCAGTGACTGATTTGATTTACTAATTTATTAGTTACCATTTTAGTAAATAAAATGTTTAAAAAAGTGCCCATCAGGGCGACTTGTGGGGATAATAGAGTTTCTCTGACCAACACTTTACAATGATATACTTGTTTAATCTCAGATGTGTGTGTGTGTAGATGTCAGTGTCTCCCCTGCTGAGGCATAAACAATCAGCACAGACAATGTCAGACAGCATCACTTCATCCTCTGACGTTAACAAGCGTGCCGGCTTAATGTCTATTGACAGACTGAGAGCTAATAACTCTGGTTGTGAATCACTGTCCTTTGATGCCATTTTATTAACAGCCAGTGTATGTGTGTGTTGATGCTGTACCTGGGTAGGGCACTCTGCCTTTGGTGACAAGCTCAATGAGTAAGATGCCAAAGGACCAGACGTCTGATTTGATGGTGAAGCGGCCGTACAGCGCAGCCTCTGGGGCCGTCCATTTAATGGGGAATTTAGCTCCTGTGTTTGATGGAAAGGAGAGGTAAGGCCACATCACACCCCATGTAGCAGTGACTCAGGCTGTACAGCATGTGTGTGGATGTGCATGCACCAACCTTGCCTGGCAGTGTATTCATTGTCCTCTATCAACCTGGCCAGGCCAAAGTCAGCGATTTTGCACACCAGGTTATCACCCACAAGGATGTTGGCAGCGCGAAGATCCCGGTGAATGTAATTCATCCTCTCGATGAAAGCCATGCCATCAGCGATCTAAAAGCAAAACATTTGACACAAATCATTTTTTTTACTTCTCACCCTCATCAAGCGCTCTGTCAGACATAAAGAGTGCATGAGTAAAAGAACCAAAGCAAAGTGTTGCAAATATGGAAGAGGAAGACATTTTTACCTGAGGCTGTAATAATTTTTTTTTAAATCTGAAGCTTAAAATAGAGTTCAAAACTTAATAGCACAAATTCTGCACCTGTGAAACAAAAATTGCAGATGTGTAGCGTTTCATCTCACCTTTGCCGCCATGTCTACCAGCAAGACAAGCTTCAAGTATTTTCCATCACCTTCCTTGAGGAAGTCAAGCAAGCTTCCTATAAAAACAAGAGTAAGAAGTCATAAATGCAGGTGTGCTGCTGTGCTAAATGTTAATTCTCTCAATTAAGCCCCTTTATCCTCAGTGATTAGAAAATTATGGTGCGATTCAGAGTGATTTCTAATTTAGTATCAGTATCAGTGGAAGTATTTTTCTGCATGAAAAGTAGAACTAGACATTTCTACAGTGGCTGCCCTATGAGACACAGCAGATCAACAAACTGCGGACACTCACGCAGAGGCACATGACATAGAGTTACTATTTACACAGGCATAAATCAAATTACTTGGAAAACTGAAAACATGCACAAACCCATTGCAGCTGAAGCTATGAAAGCCTCTCATAAAACTACTGCAGTTTTCAATTAATTCTCACAGTTTCAGGCTTTGGGGAACCACAAAGGACTTTCAATCTGCATAGCAAATAAATCAAACATCCATAAAATTTACATTTTTATCTTAAGGAAATCAGCATGCATTCATCTGACATCATTGCTATGCCTGAAAAACCCAGGCTATATGATTAGGTTTTGTGCCTGAATGGTTGACGAGTTGAACTAGAGGGCCACTTCCCCGCGCCTTCGGGTCGGGGATAGGTCTCTCACTGTCATTTGTGCCTACGGGCCGAATGGCAGTGTAGAGTACCTGGCCTTCTTGGAGTCCCTGGGAGGGGTGCTGGAAAAGGCCCCGACTGGGGACTCCATTGTTCTACTGGGGGACTTCAACGCCCACGTGGGCAGCGACAGTGACACCTGGAGGGGCGTGATTGGGAGGAACAGCCCCCCCGATCTGAACCCGAGTGGTGTTTTGTTATTGGACTTCTGTGCTAGTCACAGTTTGTCCATAATGAACACCATGTTCAAGCATAAGGGTGTCCATCAGTGCACATGGAACCAGGACACCCTAGGCCGGAGGTCGATGATCGACTTTGTGGTTGTTTCATCTGACCTCCAGCCGTATGTCTTGGACACTCGAGTGAAGAGAGGGCGGAGCTGTCAACTGATCACCACCTGGTGGTGAGCTGGATCCGATGGCGGGGGAGGAAGCTGGACAGACTCGGCAGACCCAAACGTATTGTGAGGGTCTGTTGGGAACGTTTAGCAGAATCCCCTGTCAGAGAGATCTTCAACTCC